GACCTCGATCCCGTCCTTGTTCAAAGTCTTCTCCCAGTACTTGCTATCGGGACCGGAGAACAAATGAAGTACGATCTTCTTTGCACGATCCAACCGGCGGCGTGTCCGCCTGTTCCAGGGCACCCGATGGCCATCAAAACTCTGGCCTTCTTGAAGCTGCGACATGTCGGGGACGATGCGCATCAAGATCTCCTCCGGCAAAGAGGGGAACAATGCCTTCAACTGAACCGTCAAGGCCATCTCCAAGGAGTCCGGCATTTCCGCCAGTGCACCACTGTGGGGGTTTTCCATCAAAGTTTTGACCAGCAGCGCCTTCTTGAGGAAGTTGGCCTGTCGGAACGTCTGATCGATCATCTCTTGACCACACTTTCGGTCCACCATCGGGCAGCCATGCTGAATCACCACCTCAAGCTGTTGGCCCTTGTTGTCACGAAGGCTGCATTGCGATCCCTTCCAATCGAACTTGTAGCCGAGCTCCGCAATGCCTCCAAGGGGAACAATCCATGAGCTTCCAAAGGCATCATCATCCGGAGCCGAAAGCAGGACCTTGGTGCCAGTCTTCAACTTCAACTTGTCCGTGACACCATCAGCCAAAGTCACCTGAGTTGGCATAGCTTGCGCCCATTCAACTTGATCTCGAGCAGGCCGCAAAGCATGCGTAGCGCCCGAGTCCAACAGGACCAGCTGACCGCTGGGATCGTGCTCAAGCTGGCTGATCTTGATGACCCGTAGTTGAGGTGCCCTCAAGGATTTCAGCAGCTTCGTTGCTTCCTGCAACAACGTTTCACTTGTAGTTGAGGTAGCTCCTGTTTCACCACCTCCGCCACCTCCGCCCTTCGACACACCCTCCGCCGGCTGCGCCTCTGGGTTCGGACTTTGTTGATGTCCTTCAGAGCTCAACTCCATCTCCTGCAACTTGACCACCGAAGGCTGTGCGCCCCCCCACCACCAGCACCATTTGAAGACTTGCCAGCACCGCCCGGCTTTCCTCCCCCTGAGCCCTGTGAAGGCTCACCCGTGCCTTTGCTAGGTGAGGTGAATTGCGTCTTGCCTTGGGACTTCAACTTGCAGTCAGATTTTCTGTGGTCTTTTCCACCGCAGATCCAACACCTGGAGGCCTTGTCGTCGACCCCCTCCCACGAGTGTGACCACTTGCAATTCTTTCCAGCCTTGCAGCCACTGTCGGACCTGAAGTACTTGCAGGGCGTAGTTGACATAGCCCCACCCTTGCCTTTGTTGTCATCTGCAACTCGTGTGGCTGTAGCTGACTTGTCCTGTGCCTCCATCTGCTTCACCTTGATGGGCGATGAAGTGGTCGTAGGGGCTGTGCTCATCAACACCAACGTCTCGACCTCCGCCAAGAGGCATTGACTGAAGCGCCAAACCCCATCATGATGCGGAACTTGATCCACACCAAGCTGCAGCCTGCTCTGGGCCAGACGAAAAGCTGCCTGGGCATCCAAGTTGGAGATCTTGATCACTGCCGCCTCCAGCGCCTTCAACAACAAAGTGCCATCTGGCAAGACGGCGCCGATCTCTCGAGCCCTTGCAAAGTGCCTCCGCCATGACCTCAGCGAAGCAGCCCATTCTATAACCGTAGTGGCCTTGTCCAAACTTGTCAACTTGGCCAGCAAAATCGACTTCTCGCCTGCACCGCCAGGTTGAAACCTCACCAGAAGCCGATACAGGAGTGCCGTGGATGTCAATTCACGATCCGTGATCAAGGCCTGCTGCTGGTCCACAGGGATGGCCTTGAGAAGAAGGTTCACACCTCTCTGTTCCGTCCGGCGGTACCGAACGTCATTCAACTCATCAGGAAGGCGAGGCATGATCTGGATCCGCTCAAGTGGAGATGCGGTCTTCCATCGATCATAGTAGCATTGCGCCTCCCTCAACGTCAAGTTCCACCACCGCGCTGACACCGCGGTGATGTCCCGAAGCACCGGCCCGCAAACCGCGAGCCAATCGCCAAGCTCCAAGGGCGAAGCATCCGCCGCCAACGTTGCAAGCTCAGCCTTGCTTCCACCTCCTTCAGTCCATGGCAAAGGGGCCGGAGATGAAGGAGCATCCCCTCGCCAGCGACCGTAGTTATGCTCTCCGGCCGCATCAAAGCTTGAACCATGGTCCATGGAGCCACGATCGGGATGACATTCGATGCCATGTCCACAATCACCACCTGGCCACCCTCCGGGACCACAAGCAAATTCTCGGAGACCAGGACCTCGCAGGCCAACAGTGCCTCCATAACCAGCATGCGCAGCTCCATCCTCAAACCTTGGCGGAGCCGGTGGTGCTTCTTGCGAGCTTGAAGGCCCCAAAAACGAAGCTCCTTGGCGCATGCACCCCATCCTCTCTCTCAGCTCAGCCACTTCTTGCTCCAGTCGCGAAGCCCGCAACTCATGAGCATTGAGTGGCATCATCACCCTCCCTTCTCTCAAGCTGAGGGGCAACCATTGTTGATCACCATGACGGCGTCGATGAGCATCTAAAAGCTCGTAGCCCTGCAGGTCACTAATTTCAGCCGAGGTGCAAGACGTTGGGAACGGTGGCATAGGCACTTCCATGCTAGTCGCTGCTCTCGGTGGGGAACCAGGAGGAATCTGCGTTCCATTTGGGGTGAATCGAACATCACCTTGCTCTTGATGTCCACGTCGTGACTGGCTTCGACCCCGTGGAGTGTGTGGTGGTTTCACTCCTACTCCATTGCTGGTTCCAGGAAGATCACCGCCACATACCTTAACATGTTGACCAGGTACATGACCTTCAGCATGACCAACATGGGTTCCCTTCTTTTCCAAACCCACCTGCTCCCACGAAGACGGCGTGGAAGGCACACCATCCGAGGCCCGCAGACGGCGAAGCTCAGCAACCTCCGCCATCAACACTGCGTTTTGCTCCTTGAGGAAGGTGACCATCTCAGCTTCGATGGCTCTTTGTAGGCCATCATGGTGCTCTTTTGCTTTTCTCTCCCCCTGATCCTTCGAAACCTCAGACCCGGGGTTCTCAGGCGTTGGAGGCATGGGCCCCATAGTACGGGCAGGTTGTCGACCCTTGGCTTCACGAACCATCTCCGGCATCGCGCCGTGAGTCCGCTTCCCACCACCCCGACCACGATCTTCTTCCTCCTCCCTGCGGCTTGGGGGTGTGACAAACAGTCCATTGCCTCCACCTTCAAGGGCCGAAACACCTCGTCCCTTCCCACAGCCACCGACGCGGTCACCTTGCGTCTCCAGCAGGTCGGAGTCATCTCCATCGTGAGGTACAGGGAGGTCCTCAGGTCGTGCATACCTCAGGAGCGCCTCCCGCTTGCAGCGGTCCGACCACCATGGATTCAACGGTGGCATGGAGCGGGACCGCTCACCCATGGCGTGTCACTTGGGCTCATAACCCTCGTTAACAAAGACAACGCGCCCTTTTCTTCGAACACAAATGCCTGAAGTCGTGTTGACATGTTCGATGTTCTCACCGAACGGACCCAGAAACCACTTCCCAGAAACCACTTCCCAGAAACCA